CGAGATTCACAAGCCTCTACAGGAGACCTGGAGCTGCGGGAGGGTGTCCTACCTTTCACTAAAATTGCACCAAACAAGGACCACCGGCACCAATTCTTTTGCGCTCTGTGGGGAAACGCACATTTCAGCACTGTTAAGTGACCTTCTGGCATCCTATTAGTGCCTGGAATTTCCAGTGGGCATGTTCATTCGCTAGAGCAGGGACATCTTTTCTCCTTCTTGACAAGAAAAAGCCATGGTCACAGCTATCACACTCATGCAATTTGCAGCCTGTACCAAATACATCGGGGCATCTTGCAAGGCCTACACACTGTGGGGAAAACCAGCGTGCGCGCCTGCGTATTTGGAGACAGGGAGCAAGGTGCTGCTCTGCCTAATCCTTTGGCTGGTTCCCTGGTCAGGTCAGGGATGCAGGTACCACCACAGTGCTGCTAAGAAGCAGGGGGCAGCCTAGGCTAGGGGGTAAATTCGCACTCTCTTTACGGTACACCTCTCTAGCTTCAGTTACTTACCCCTGGTAGCTCTGTGGTAGGGCCAAGCTTGATGGAATATCAGCAAAATGTCAACAGTCCCTGACAGACACCGACCTTCACCGTGGAGCAGAGTGAAACAATTACATATTTCTAAAACTCTGCCGAGAAATTCAATCAGACTGCCAGGTTAAAATTCCGTCATAAAAATACAAGGTTGAAGTTACAAGTAGGAACTGAGATCACTAAACTTAAATTTACCTTTCTTGAAGCCCCTGGGTTACTCTCTCAGATTACACAAAAATAAGCTAGATAGATTCAGGTTTTGGATCCCTTGCGTTAGGTCAGATGCTACAGAGGACCTAGCGGGGGAAAAAAAAAAAAAACGCAACAGAAAACTTTGTGAGGCAGGTTCTTCAAATCCTCCATTTCCCCATTATTCAGAAAAAGTTTGCAACAGGCTCAGACACTGAAGTAACAAACAGCAGCCCCAGCCGGCCTACAAACATATAAGCTCAGACTGTTTTACCCCCGCAGGAGGTGGGCTTTATGTGGCTTTCAAAATCGGAGGCCTCTCTCAACACCTTAGATACACTTGTATAAACCTGTACAGAACTGAAAGTTTAGGAAAAGCCTGGTTTACCCATGTGATTTGTTACATTATTTACATTATGATACAGCTATCAAAAGTTGATGGCACTCTTCCTTCTGCCTCCCCTGCAGTGAGCGAGCCCAACTTCTTTTTTGTGCACATGGACCAATGCATTTTACCCTCAGAGGATAAGGACACTAAACCCAAAAACACTCACTGGGTTCTGTATCATTTTCCACTCTTCCAGGAACAGAAAGCTGTTCAGCAAAATTCACTTTGCAGGGCTGGTGGGAGAACGGCCACCTCTCACCACCACTCTCTTCTATGGGAACAAGAGCTTCAGCTTCACTCTGGAGAGCAGCTCTGCAGGTCCTGCTCCTGTAGCAAATCCACGGAGAGAGACGTGCGAGCCTGAGCGCAGCTCCACAGGCACCCGTGGGACTTCAGAAGTCTGCACAACACTGACTGCAGGATGGGTCTCACATCTGAACACAGAAGGGTCTGTCAGCATCCCTGATTTTCCCTCCTGCTCTCAACAGAAGACTAAGCTAGCATTTCACTTATCTAAGGGGGTGAGGAGGGAAGGAAAAGAACAAGAGTTTGCGAGCCAAAACTTTTTTCTGTAAAAAGATTGACATCAGCACTGCTTTATGATGTTCCAGAATTGCCTGATGTTAGCTGGTATCAACTGAGTCACAGCAGGAACGCCAGGGACATTTGTTAGCATGAGGCACAGCTTTAGGGCTAGGGCAGTCTACCAGCACTGCAATCAGCTGAGATCCTCTCTTCCATTTTCCAGCTCAGTGCTCAATTCCATATTAAACAAGCACTAGTACAAGTGGAGCTGCAGAACATGACGCTAGACAATAAAGCCCTGAAGAGCAGAGGGAAGGCAGCTCCATCTACTTGGTTTCCCTCTGGGTGGAGGCAGCAAACAGAAGTTCAATAGCTCAAACTCTGTCCTGCTGCAATCTTGAAGTGAGCTGCAGCTGGAGCAGCCCATTGCTGCCATAAACCAAAGCAGGGCAGGATGCTCTCCCCCCATCAGGGAGCAGTGTCCAGCAGCGCTCAGGCAAACTGCATTAGCTGACTCCAGCAGGCACAAGCAATACACGGGAGTTTGCATCAAACCCACCTCTGCTTCCACCTCCCTCTTGTCCCCATGGCACAATTAGGCTCCCCAGGCACTTCCCACTTGAAACTGCCTGCAATTTAGCCCCCACCAGCCCCTAATTCACACAACTCTGGCTCCGACTTACTGCCCTCCCGGCAGTCACAGGCAGCCAAGGCAGTTTTTTATCTGTTGTCCTTCTCAAACACCATAGCACCTCCTGCATCCTTCCCTGTTAACAACTATGCCTTCAGCTTCATTCCTGGAATAGCTTCTAACTCTTTCCTTCAAGCCAGATTCATTAACCAGCTGCTGCAGAGCTGTTTGCCTCCCCCAGGTACTCTGTGCATGTCATTTGTTAATGACTCATCTCAGACTGGGCTCGTTGCAAAGACGCCCCCCTCCTTTTGCGGCACCAAGTGCATCGCTGGCACACCAGGAAAGCCAAAGATGCAAACAGCTCGGTTCCCTCCAATATCCCATTCCCTTCTCTCTCCTCTATCGCCATCAAGCACGGGACAGCTCTTTATTCAAAGTGCTGTTTCCTCCTTTGCTTCTTTGCTGATCAAAGGCAATGTGTACTGAAGCATAAATAAGATCTTCACCCCCAGCCAGGCTTTGAGAACAGCAAAAACGTAAGAACAAACTCGAAAACTTCCAACACACTAAAGAAGCTTCAGCAAACTAATGTGACTCCTGTAACTGGCAGGGAACAAACACCGAGGATGCCAAATTCACATCTACTTCCCCAGCAGACTGTGGCTTGCCGAGGAGCTAAAACAATTTCCAGAGGCATTTGTATTCCTCCTGCCTCTTTGCTGAGGCCTGATACTAAAAATGAGACGGAAAGAAAACAGCTAGTGAGGACCACAGTCAAATCTAGTGAGAAACTGGATGACCAGTACACTGCAGCTGCCCAAGTGGGAAGCCAGAAACAGACTCAGCACACCTCCATCGCACAGATCTATGAGACTTGGGTACACAAAGTCCACCTACACCTCCTGAAAATTTAATACAGAAACTAGTACTGCCACTGCTTGGGAAACAGTTCCCTTGAGATATAGGGGAAGGCTTTGTGCTCCCGCCTTACTTAACATCCTTCCCTGGCAACTTTTTGCCTAGCATTTCTTGGGGGAGAGAGCGCTGGCAAAGAATCAAAAAACAAGAGACTTGACCCAGAGGCAACTGGACGGGAGGTATTTAGATCCGCCTCTCAAGATTAAAAGCTGGTGTGCCTGCACTGCAGGAGAAGAAAAGGAATTTACTTTCACAAGTGTACAACAAGTCCTGCGACTGAGGACCAAAACCACGCAGACGGCAAAGAATTCTGGTAGCACTAAGAGGAAGGCACGTGCAATGCACAGGCAAGTGTAGGTGACAGCTGGCTGCAGGACTGGAGCACTGTCACAGCCCTCTGCTTCAACAGCTCCCCTGCCTGCTCACGGAAAGCCCTTCTCTTTACAGCATGGAGTGAAGTGAAATGCAGGGGCCAAACTACAAAGCAGAACTCTGCTAGACCCAGAGGAAGGAACTGACCGGCCTAAGACAGAGCACAACTACACACCTTCCACAATCAGGCATCAAAGGTGTTTAGGCTCAGGACACTGGGCTCAGCTCCTGGCTTTGCCACAGATCCTTCTGCACAAAGTTGGACAAAGACGAACTACTGACAAACTGGGAAGAGCAATTCCCTGTCTCCTGGACGCATCAGGGAGATCAGGACAACCTTCTGATAACGTAACATCAAGAACCGAGTAAATGCTCAAGTGAACAAGTGCTGTTGGACTGCAAGCCTAAAGCAGCTTCAAAGCCAAGACTCCAGACTCTGACATTAAATCAGCATTTTTAATTTTTTTCTAAAATGTGCTTTTTTGTGAATCACTGTTTCAATGCCAACCCCAGCCTCCCCCTTAATAAAAAAAAAGCCCCGCACCTTGCCAAACTAGGTGCAAATCACCTGAAGTTAGTCTGTAACAAATAAAAAATAAAAAACCACAAAACAAAGGCTGAAATGCTTTAGAATCACAACAATGTACAAAAAAAAAAGGGAGGAAAATACAACCTGAAAGTGTTTAAAATTCAGAAAGACTAGTCAAGTCCATTGCTTCAGCAAGGGGATGCTGCTGCGACCCCTGCCAGTGGGTCCTGGGCCACCAGCCTGCCACGA